GAAGGATTTCTTTGATTTTAATTTGAAAAATATTTCAAAAATTATATTTCGTGATATGTAAATAACAAAGCTTTAGAATTTGTTCATGTTTATCTCAATCATCGAGATGAAACAACTTTAAGATGACAGATAATCTTTAAAACGGGATGACACAACAATGGTTGATATTTATGACTGTATTTTAGGTATAAGCATTACAGAACAAGGCTTGTTACAGCGGAGTAGCGGCTCTCTTTAAGATCCTATCGACTTTAATCTTTATCGTAAAGTAACAATGTATAATTGATTCCATTACACAAATAGGGCATATACATATTTTGAAACAATACTTAGGCACGTGCTTTGTACCCCTGCTGACATTCCGTGAGGCCAAAAACAATTCTGGCCAGTAATTCTATCACTACAGGTGTCCAGCTGCAGTCTGAATATAGGTCACAGGGACTTGACAATTGGTTTTGGTACTGAGGTCACAGGGACTTGACAATTGGTTTTGGTACTGAGGTCACAGGGACTTGACAATTGGTTTTGGTACAGAGGTCACAGGGACTTGACAATTATTCTAGATCAATCAGTCAGGTACTTGACAATCCATCTAGTTACGCATCACAAGGAGTTGACCATTTTTCTTAAGGTACAGGCCACAGGGACTTGACAATTTCTCAAAGACAGTGGTCACAGGGACTTGAATGTTCAAGGAACAGTTCACAGGGACATGACAATATGTCAAGGAAGGTCACAGGGATTTGACAATTGGTGAAAGACAGAGGTCATAAGGACTTTACTATTTTTCTAGAAACTGGCCACACAATCTGTCTATACAGGCACTAGTGATTAGGACTAAAGATTTAAATGGTCTTAGATAATTCACAACGACCCAAAACTTGGCCTGAATACAGAAGAGATGGATACCTGGTGTTGTTTATTCTCAAGAATTTCCAGCTAGCATTCAACAATTCCAGCACTGCCCAACCACTTACTAATTTACAACTGAGAAGACAGACCAAGCAGAGTAAAATGTCGTGTTCAAAGATACAACACAGTGCCGTGACGTGACTCGAACCCGCAACTCTTCATCATGAGTTTGGCCCCCTACCACTAAACTACCGTGCCTCCTACAACAGAGACTCATACAGTCACAGGGTCCTGGGAATCGGTCTGAATCAACCTGGATTATACAATCACAGGGTCTTGGGAATCAGTCTGAATCAACCTATACTATATAGTCACAGGGTCCTGGGAATCAGTTTTAATAAACCTTGATATATTGTCACAGGGACATGGAAATCAGGATGAATAAACATGGACTTTGGCATATTATGTACAGTCACAGGGCTATGTGAATCTGCTTCAATGAGGTTGGATTTTTTTTTTTATTATTTTAGCCTGTGGAGTGGCAGATTAGTCATTAAGACAGAAAATGTATAATTGACACCAACTTTGATAACAACGAGGACGCTGCGTAGAATTAACTCGCTGCCTTTGTTCAAATATGCAAGTGTCAATATCAATGGCACATCAAGAGAATACACACTTTGGTTAAGAGAAAAACAATCCATTTATTCTCCGTAAAATCTTATCAGCAAAGTAAAGATCTAATTCACCTTTGATATTAAAGACCTATTAGTTTCATTCCAATCCTTACTTCTCTTGTGTCAATTCCGTAATGAAAGGAAAATTTGTACAAAGGCAGAGAGATTAGATTTCAGTAGTTTTGTGTGCGATACTTCTCTGTCCTCCTTCATGTCATTCGCCTTCAAAAACATGAATAGGTTGTCTTGTCATCAACAAATGATTTTACTGATTTTTCATGCTTGTAACTTACAATAAATTGACTTTCATAGCCAAGATTAAAACACAATTTATCAATTGATATTCTACATGAAAAAACAACCTTGATTAAAAAGTTTTGCCATATCAAGATTTTCATACTTTGATGTTGCGCCTACTGTAGCCGTACTAGTTAGTATTTGAACATTTATAAAGGCAGGAAAGTTTGTATCTAACAAAAAGATGAAAAAAGATAAAGGGATATTAATATCTTTGTTTGTTTCATTCTTAATGTCCCAAGGGGGGGTTGTGAGGTCAAATTGGGCCAATTATTGTCAATATATATATCTGTATATTTTTTATGAGTCTTTGTACTACTGACAAAAACAATAAATATGCAAAAACAATACTCCAGCATGACAATAGATTTAACTATTCCTGAAATGAACATCATACCTTGTGGAATTTTCATGAAAAAATAAATAAAGATGAAATAAAAAAAGAAAATGCTCCGGCTCCGAGTGTACAACGGATCCAGACCGTCATTAAAATCCTTGATCTCTAGATTATTTTACTGTTGCTCTATACCACTGAGCTATCTAGTTAATGAAAGTATCTTGTGCCCAGACACGTTACAATTATAGTCAAAATGAAATTAAGGGGAGGTAACTGTAGGTATGACAAAACTGCAGTGGAATTCTCTAATGTTTTGCGTGCAGTGAGACAGGAATCCTTAAAGAATGATGGAAAAATACACAATGTATCTTTGCAACTCCTGTGTATTTTAATTTTTATTTCTTAGATAAATATTTTATTTGATGCAGACAACTGATTATTTCACCACGGATTGCTCAGAAATAAACAATATTTAGGAGGCACGGTAGTCTAGTGGTAGGACGCCAGGCTCATGACCAAAGGGTTGCGGGTTCGAGTCACGGCACGGCAATGTGATGTATCTTTGAGCAAGATACGAGCAAGATACTTTACTCCGCTTGTTCCAGTCTACTCAGCTGTAAACGAGTTTGTTCCAGTCTACTCAGCTGTAAACGAGTACGTGGTTGGGCAGTGCTAGGATTGTAGATATGCTAGCTGTGAGTACCGAGATGGCAGCTCCGGCTGTATGCCCTCACGGAATTGGGAATATTGGCTGGTTGCAAAGGCCCTATAACCACGGATAATAATTTGTGAACCGCTTTGAGATGACCTACAAACTAGGTTGAGATTATTAAGCAGTATATAAGAACTTCAAATTATTCTTATTATTATAATAGCATTACGAGATTATAGAACCTCATGTTAGCAAGTCCAAAACAGGTTGCCCCAGATGCTTGAATTCAAATCTGTGTTAACCAGATTAGAAATCAAAACTGTCCATTATATAAAGTGAACTTTTCTGTAAATTTGGCACTATACAGGGGTTTGGTGATAAATTGAGGGCAGAGTATAAAGGACATCTTTCGAAAAAGAGAGAAAATTTGCTGGGGATAATTAACCAGTAAAGCAAAATGGCAAATTAAACAAAGGCAATATATAGAGGTTTCATTGTATATTATCTGAATGACACAGAGCCAACTTTGATTCTAGCTATTTCTTTATATAAACTTTTATTATTTTATAACAAAAAGTTATTGTAAAACAAGTTTTCAACTTCATTAATCACTCGTTTCAAAATATTTGCAACGCAATATTGGTTTTTCTTATGGATAGCTGATAATCATAATAAATATTCTAATAACATGTGAAAAAAAAAAAGTGAGTGCAAATTAAAAAAAAAATAAAAAAATAAAAAAATCTTGTAGTGCTGAACTCTTAATATGGGTGGAAACTGGAGTACCTGATGAAAACTTACTTGATCGGGCAGGTGACCCCAAACCTTTTCATGTCCACTTGGGGAATCAAACCCTAGCTGCCTAATGGTGAAAGGCAAGTGCGCTATCCACTGCGCCAACCAACAACTTATTTCTTTAATCCAAAATAGTATTTAGTAAATAATAAAAAATCATTTTCTGACCAGGACAGCTTATTTGTTTTAGATAAATTTCTATCTTTTTAGTTAAATTTTTGTGCATCAAAATGTATGAGAAAATCGTTTCTGGTCAGCTTAAATGTTTCACATATGTTTCAATTATAAGAATATTTAGGAATAATTTTATTTTCTTGTGAATAGAAAGTGCTGACGGTTCCTGATTGCAACAACTTGCACTGAAGGCACTATTAACAGGTGGCTTGATTGGTCTACTTGTGACAACATGATTTGCAAACTTCTCATTGGAAAGGTCAAAATAAAATATGACGTCATATCATGGAATGACATATCTCTCCGGGATATTTTGATAATTTTACACAGCACAGCGGCATAATCCAGTCACAGAGAAAAAAACTAATGTTAGGTCATAATAGCGACACAGCTGTACACTAACAACTTACTATCTTATAAAACCGACAAAGCCTTCTTATGATAACAAAGCTTATGCGAGATGGTAAATCATTATTATGGCATAGCCATGTCATTCTTACGATAAACCTTTGTTGCATTATGATAAAGCAAGTCGTTATTAGGACAAATCATTTTTTTATTTTCCATGATCCGAGACTTCCATATAAATGGGGCCTTTTCTTGTCAAAAAAAAGGACGCGATACAAAAACACAACTACTTCTTTTCTCATTTTGTAACCCACTTTTATGAATAATTTAACAAACACTTGTTATTATTTTTTTTATTTTATTTTATATTTGCTTCGTTTTTGAAATGGAAATAAAACAATAATAAAGGGAATAATTTATAAAAAACATAGATTGGGGAAAATATCAAAGCTTTCATGAAATTCCCTTTACATCAAATATTGTTTCAAAGTAACAGGAAAATTATCTACAAACCTTTGTCAAGTTTGTGTGTTTTGTTTTACAATGCAATGAATTCATGTTTCAAAATGTTCCAAAGGAAATAACAAAAGCATGCATGATTTTGAAAAAAAAAAAAAAAGTACACAGAACCCATATATCAAAAGAATTGTTATTCATTACCTTACATACGCGTTTTGATCTGTTTACATAAATCCCTTCACAAATGGATTCGTAACCTAATGCTTCTGATATGATAACTGTATTACCTGTTAATATGAAACGATCTGAGAGCGCCATAGCCGATAAAAATCCCTTTGAAGTAACCGCCTAGGTGAGTCACAAAGGCGGTATATGGTATTTGTATGTATTGATTGATAATGTTACTTACCTGAAGGTGTCGTCTGCTACAGATGTCTATTTCGTTTGGTTGACTCCGATAAAGACGGGAGTACGAACGAAACCGGCAACAACCTCGTAAATCTGAAAAGTATTTTTGTGTAAATATCTTTAAATACACAATTTATTGTACATTTCATTCAAAATATTTCTTCTCTCTTGAAAACCTCACCCTTTCTTTTGATGATATCTTAATCCATTCGAAACGTTAAAAATGAGTCGGATCTAAATTTCGGCATCAATCTTTTGATCAATCTTATTGTAAACCACAGTAGCCATCAAGTTATTTTAAACAGAATTTTAAGTGTTACAGAACTCTAAGTTTTCATGTTTAATTTTAAACTTTATGAAGTTTTACTAATTATTTATGTGAAGTCGATCAATTAATTTGGACAGGTAATCGTGTAACCATTCTCCACTTTTCTAATTGTTTATATTTGCACAAGTACGAATATTTCGGGCACCTCCTAACATGTAGATACATAGATAATTGGGTAATCAGTTTCAATTTACGTATCGGTTTCTGTCCTTAGATGTCCGGCAATAGGGACTTGCTAATTTTTGAAACACAATAGGCTGTATTGACCGAGGGTTATACACTAAAAATCGACAGCGATACGGAACGGAGTCTCATTCTCAAGTTCCTGTGGTCTATTGTACCAGGATCAAAGACTTGGCGCGTGCTGTCCGCGTACACAAGACATTCGACCTGTTTTCTCGGTGAAAACTAGAGGAAGAACAGAGAAACGTGTATTGTTTACCGCTTCTTTGAAGTGTGTCGCCCGCGGGTGCTCGTCCCTCCCGGCCGACATGCATGAATGACTTTGTTATCGGCCGTAATTAGCCTCCCCCTCTGTACTCCGTGACCTCGGGCTAGCATGCTCCCCCAGTGGTCGTGTGACCGAGTGTAACCGCCAATTGATGTTATAATCAGCTTCTGAAAACTGCGTCGGAAATCAAAGACGGGTAAACAAGATACTGGCCACACAAACATGTTCTGATGCATGTTTCTGTAAACGCACAGCTCATTATCGCCGTTGATTCCAACACTTAAACTAGAATAAAACACGTATTTTACATTAATCTCCACTTTGAAGACGATTTATCAGCATTTGGACAATTAACAGGCATCTATAAGATACCTGTCCAGAGCATACTCAAGCTTAAAAAAACCTTTAACATTTGTGTTCTAATGTAATTTATTAATTAAGTTAGTAGGAAGTGAACAATATAAAAATAAATAAACATAAATAATGTTTCATAGAAAGTAAGTCTTTTCGGTCCCTGCAACATGTAAATGTATAAATCACTTGGGTAATTCATCTTAACAAACTTTACAGCTCTCCCCCCTCCCCATCATTCTTCCAGTCGAATACCATGATTCATGGTGTTTTGGTTATCCAAAAGTTTTGAATTTTTACCCCCATTGACCAACAACTTGAAACATTTTGTTAGCCATACATCCCATTTTGCTACTGGCCTTAACCTTAGGCCATTGGTTATTCTGAAGAAATTATTGAAAGAGAAATCTTCACGCAAGAAATTTAACGGAAGGCTGGACATACCACCTTAGCATAAGATTGCTCAGCACTTTAGGCCCGATGAGCTAAATTTGGCACAAGTTGAATTTTGTCCGGTAACTTGGGGTACCGTTGTCAAATAAATACCCTAGTGATTCGATGATGCAGGGGTTACCAGTCAACTGGGTTTTCATCATTGGCATTCTTCTAAGGATTAGTGTATAACTTTTGATAAGTGTTTGTTGTATCGTTCTACCCAGCTGTATAAGTGGGTTCCAACATACTGGGAACATAATCCTTTGAATGACTGGAGTCCTTCAAGGGGGTAGGTAGCATGTGCATAATGCAATAGGATTAACTTTGACTTTTGAAAGTGTTTTCCCAGTAACCTTGTGGGGTAAAGTCATCAGGCATGTAAATTTTAATTTTAAAGGGAGAGGCATGAAGATTATCCTGGTCTGCTCAAGCTTATATAAGCAAGAAGGAAATTATACATCCTGATACAATTATCCAGAAAGGGTCTGGTGTTATTGATGTTCAAGTTTTCCTATCCTCATTAAACTTGCCAAATATTCATTGCATCTCCTTATGTAGAAACTAAGATCATGAATACCCCAAATGCAGGTGTAATGACCGACTTCAAGACACATCTTCAGTGAAGAACATTGCTAGAAGCCTAAACCCAAAAATATTTAAAATATTTTATTTTCACCTCAAAGTCCATTAATTGTCTTGACAACTTTATCAGAGCTGCTTTTATACATAATGTTCCAAATGATTCTTCAACATACAGGGGCGTAGCTAGCCCTCTTTTCATGTGGATTCATAATTGTGCTAGGGGGGTCCGGGCAAATGCCCCCCCCCCCCCCCCCCCNTTGAGGTGCTTTATTTGGTACTGGAAAATGGACAGTTTTATGATCATAAATCAACAAATAAACACTCTTACTCAGCAGATTTTTTCTCTAAAGTAGCAAACAAATACAAGCCCCGATTATGTTAATAATACTCAGATTGTCTAACAGAAGTCTAATTTTCTGTCCTTTTTGCCAGTGAACTGTATTATAACATTTTTAATGTCAATGTCCATATGTCTAACTCTGCAACATTGCTAGTCCAGACAGACGTTCAGTGGACATAGTGGGTCTCATGTAGTTTTTCACCCTTCTCATGATACTGAACTGCCTCTCAGCTGAGGCTATTGAGACTGGAATGATATTAAGCAATATCAGACATATATAAATGTCTGGGTACAGAGTTTTGTTTGCGACTTTTAAACTTTCACTAAGGTCAGAAGGCTTGGTTTCTTCCAAAGACCACCTTACTCTCCAGCGGGCAACTTCACGTCTGAAGCTTTCACAATCTCCACTGATGTCGTCATGAAATGCATCAAATATGGCATCTAATTGAGCAGGTGTCCTCAAGGGCTATTTAGTGTAGAAACAGCTAGGAACGTTTGGTATAAGCATGTAGTCAAGTACGCATACTGCAACTTTGGCCGATTTATTTTTTTGTCAGAATCATGTGGATTCAGCTGCATACTCGCGTAGAGGCAGCTACGCACCCGACATATTCTGGAGATATTCTATTTCATGGACAGGAATGGACATTGCAATCATGTTGCTTTCTGGCAACTTTTGACAAAGATTTTCAAGGCCTGCAATAATGTGCAGTTCCAGCAGGCTTCAGATTTTGGCTCCGATACCATGTTCAGCACCAGCCAAGTATTAGAGAAGTTTGTTGATACTGCATACCAGAAAATTTCCCCCCCAGTTTAACTTTCGCCCTTTACCCGATAATTCAATATTCTCCCAGTGTTAAATTCACCGTTCATATGCAGTTTCCATGTTAGATATAATAAATTTGGGTGAAATAAAGCGAAAGTTTAACTTGGGAAAATATCTTCTGGAACACTGACTGTAGCGGAACAAAACCAGGATAACAACAAGAACACATAAGTACTTCATAAAATATGTTATAGTACAAAATTTTATTGAATGTAACTATTCATTACATATGGAAATGTTGAACTAATCCGTGAAATATGAACCAAAACAAATAAATGACAATGTTTGGACATGTCAATAAAATAATTATTAATTATAATATGTACAATGTTCAGTAGTGACCTGTTGGTCTCGCAGAGCAAAGATCTCTATCATTGATTTGACTGGTCGCAATGATGATTTTCAAAACTGAACGAAAGAAAAACATTACCCTGTTTCGACTTTTGAAGTGGTAGAAAAACTACTTTTTGATTTCTGTCTCGCAAGAAACGTCTCTTTTTTTTTATTACGTCTCTTTTTTTTTTATTAATTTGTATTTATCTTCTCCTAGAAAGTTGGATGAACTCATCAATATAAAATACACAAGTACTGTAAATAAATTACAAAAACAATTTGAGAAAAAAACCTGATTTCATTTACATTAAATATCTTTCACGTTTAAAAATTATGTTGGATGTATTAAAATAAAATGCCCACAGCTCTGATAGAATAAAAGTACCGGTCAATCAAAATGATTCGACTGTTAAAAATGGCAGTTGACTTTCTAGATAATGCCGCGCGGTTTTACAACAATTGACAGGGCAATGCCCCAATCACAACCAAGTCTCGGCATTTAACATAATTAACTACTGAGAAGGAACAGTGAAATAAATAAATAACTTCGTAGTAGCCAGATAATCTGCCCTTGTCTGTCACCAGGGGGCATTTCCAAATTGAACAACCAAGATAATAATAACAAACTCATATATAAGCATTTTTTGGATGACCTTTAAAAATTATGAAACTTTTAAAGGTTCCGTTGAAATTGTTTACCGAAGCAGTCTAGTTAGTCTGGACAGATGTTCCTACGGACATTCCGGCTTCGTTTTTATAGAAACCAATGGTAGGGACCAATCTTGTTTTTGGGTCAGGTTGGGTTGGGGTTTTACCATTTACAAACAAAACTGAATTTGATATAATAATGAATAATTCTATGGGCTTCTTTTTTGGCATATAGCTAAACTTAATTTTAGTGATCTTGTTTATCTTACAAGCCTTTTATGTACAAAGTATGGAAATTCCCCCACAAAACCCACCAATAATAAATGTTCAGATAGGGGGATTTTAAATAACTTAAATAACTAAATGTTTTTTAATATTGGAAATTCTTGCTCTAGAGGAAATTGACCTTAAAACCTGTAAAGAAATAGACTGGTCCCTACAGAGTATTTTCTCGAGTATCCAAAACACAAGATTACACGACATTGAAAGCCCCCTACATCGTATCACATACCCTACACGTCTAAACTGGACTTGCCCAGTCTTTGAATTGGTAAGGTTCAAATGTGACTTTAGGAGTGAATGTATTAAATTACTTCTTCTGACCTTTTTGTTCGCTGCAATAAAAATTTAATATCAGTCTTGCATGTCTACAATAACAGTGTTATCCTATAAATTGAAAACATTTATCATTATTATTTTTAACTGGGTTTTTTTCAAATCTCATTCTGATATTGTTCTTATGAATAATTTCAGGAGATGGGAATTTGTATTACTTCTTTACTAAGCAGATTCAATCGGGTGATCTGCAATCTGAATGCATACAGGTCCAGCAGTAAGAGGTTGAAATTTACATACATACATCAAATTTGTCATAACTATTTAAGTACTAACAGAAATAGTAGCACTAGGTTCATAAATTAACACAAGAAAAATAATTACAATATTATAATACAACATCTTTTGATGAGGGATTTCAGATCAAAGTCGTAGATGTGCAGAAAACTTGGATCGTGAAAACACTCATTTCATCTAAATGAACATGTTCAATGAAAAAATAATACAATTTTTTTTCCAATTAATGAAAAGATGATTGATGTACAATAACATATATGTCTGATATTTCATTTTCAAAATCTTTGGTATATCTTATGCATGTTTAAGCACATCTGTCTTAAAAATTCATTCATCTTAAAAATAATTTTTAAAACTTGGCAACAAATACCATTTACATGATTGGTCTCCATACATGCTCATTAAAAAACGTAAAATTATCAAGGACTTGCACATCACATGCAAATTAGCTCATAATTTTAATGTTCTGAACCCATTTTTCAGTATTTTTTAATAGATTAAAATTCTCAAAATATATATTTTTTAATTCTCGTATGTGCAAACACTTTCCCGAAATTGTACTTATCAAAAGATTTTTTTCCCCCAATGTCAAAATCTCTTTTAAGATAGTTATCTGAAGTCGAGGACCATTGTCCAATTTCTTAAGTTCAAGGACAGTTGTTCATTTTCTGAAGGTCAAGAACAATCGTTTATTTGCTAAAGGTTAAGGACACAATGTCCTCTATAATGTAGCCACACGTATGGCTACAGTGCCAGCTGCAGTCCAACAAATACCCCTGAGTCAGCAGTTATCGTTTGATCATACACACCCATACCTATTGACATTTCTCCCTCCCACGTCACAGTCATACACACATGTACACACATATATATATGTATTTATATATACATACTTATTTACATGCATAATTACAAACTTGTTTTAATATTTAACTATTTTTCTTGGGACATCAAAATGTCGTGAATTTTTATATTCTGTCATTTTCAACTGTTGTCCGAAACTTTTGTTCTCCGTTTGTTCTGTCTCTATGTCTTTAATCCACTTTTTCCACTTTGGCCACAACCTTTCCTTCCCATAATGGAAGCATCTCATTGTCATCGCGGATTTCCTCGAAAACAACCTCACTCTCGAATTCATTACTCAACCTCTTGAAGAAAAACCTGCAAGAGACAAAAGTACAAAAGAAATTAATAAAAAGTTCAAAATGCCATTATCCTCAAAAGACACAAATTTCAAATACATACTTCTGAGATTAATTAATTATTTTTTCAATATCACAGTATTGTTGAAGTTTTGATAAATACAAGATTGAATACACAACAGCAATATCCTCCGTAAGCACCCGCTCCTTGCTACTATGAGCAGCCTACTTTCACTGCCCCTGATACTTATGTAAACCCCATTGACACAAGTGCCAATCTTCCTCCCCCCAAAAAACTTTGAGAGAGAGAGAGTCGTGCTCTCGATATGTCCTAATACACCACTTGGGATGCCGGGCCAATGTTTTTCTTGCTCACGCATCACAGGGTTATTTAATGATTCAATTACCCGATACAACACATGTAGCGTAGTAGTGTGGTCTTACATCAGCGGCAATTCCGTCCCAATAGAGAACCATTGTCTAATCAAAGTAACTACCAGCTTGTTACACTACACTGCAATCTGCTCTCTGCACAATCTTGTTACAAATTCTTAGAGAACTTATTCTCATTCCTAACTAATTTCCCAAATATTTGATAGTTGGCCACACTACTTTGTTACAGTGACAGTTTGGTTTTTAAAGCCGGAGGAAATTGGGGTGTATCAGCCGGCATGTTGCTGGGGAATGTGGCGAGACCTTCTTTCATCTTCCCCTTCCTTTAATCATACCCAACAATAACCCTCCCTTCTTCACCCTACACTAGCTTTTCAAAAGGAACACACTAAAAAAATGGTGTCAAAACTCCACTCTTTTTTGCAACAGTTGATGAACCGAGGTCTTTTTCACACAGAGGTGTTTTTTTGTCAGTGCCCTATGTTTTCTTTATACCCCCCTACCCTCCCTGAGACGTGTTGGGATTTTTCTTTTATCATCCCCCCTCCCCCAAACTTGCTTTGCCTTCACTTAACTTAATTACACTGAAATTACACAAACAACTTAACAAGGTTGAAGACCAAGATGAGGTTTTGACCATACACGGAAAAGACTTACACTGCAGTATCTCTGCTTTTTCCACACACTTCAATCATTAAGTGTTTTAAGAAGAGTATGATTTTTTTGCATATTCTTTTAAAGACTTTTGAATGAAACTGAACCTAGCTGAACACTCCGACATCCTTCTCTTGCTTTTACGTTAAAAAAAATGTTGCCTCTTCCTATGTTTGACCTGCCTCTTTGAATGTTTTAACATGCACAGATAAATTGTTCCAGCCCACATTTCAGGCGCTTTAAAGAGGCTTTCAAACAGCCACCTCTGAGGAATACCACAGACCCCACAACATCCTAGGTCACTTGCTTGGCTAAGGAGCAGTGAAAATTTGGCCGTGCTTTGTGACTGCCTGCTTTTGTTGCACGTTTTGGGTAATACTTCAAAAGAAATCTACATTAGTCCATGCATTCTCACACACTCCCATGAACTTGTAACTTTAAAACAAACACATCCAATCCAGATTATAGGAAAAAGACTTTTCAATCTCTCAAGCATTTGAAATGCACCTGTATATTTCTGCACATGTATATTTCTCCAATCACTCTTATAATAATTCTTGTATCCAAATCCTGGATATCTTTATCCCCAGTGGTTCCTACGATTTAATACATTATCGAATCAAATGTTTGAGGCGTGGAAAACCAACACCATACTTTTCTTTGTACTGCTCATCACTTAGTCTTTGTAAGGCTAACTTTTTTGCATTGTATTTTTGCAAGATATTTTTTTTTTGCATTAATTAATTCATGATGAAAACTCATTCACAAATTCCAACAGACATTCAACAAACATGATTTTGTATAAAATTTCTACAGGCAGATTTCGCATGAAAATAGTCATTTTCCTCCCAATCTGGATTGTCCACCTAAACGTAGCACCTCTTCAGCAAGAGCACAAGACGACGGTATACTTACTTGAAGTTGCCACGGCGGCCAATGAGGTGTTTGAATTGTGCTAGGGTGACGTGTGTCCCATGTACAGTATGGCGGTAGGGAATAGGCTCCCCGCAGAAGAAATAGCCGATGATGACCTCGCCTCCATCTGCTGTGGCACCAGGGGTGGATGCGTTGGCCCCAGAGGGTGCGGACCCGGAGGTGTTGGCACTGCTGGACGAGGATTTCTTACTGCCCTTCTTCCTGCAACACACAAAAATCAAACTACGTTAGTTTCCAGATCTTTTCTCAAGGTTGTGTTTTGCAGATAACGAAATAGCTCTCTTTCTGTTTGCACTTGAATTAGGACAGTTTGTAAAGAAGAGGGTGTTAACAAACATTCGGCGATCACTTTCACGCATTTAAGTTTCTACAGAACCTGTTGCCAATTACAACCTCATCTAGGGTTTGATTACTGGGAGATGGAAGAACAAAGTATAAAAGACAAACATCTAGGGGAACTCTTAAACAGCCATATGGAAGTCTACACTATTACAAACACTCTCTAATCATCACTCGAAAGCCTGTTCACTGAAGAACACATCATCAACAATTTATAAACACTGCTTGCAGGTCTGAAAACATTCTGCGCGTGACATTTAGGCAAAACCAATAAATGAGTTGCCTGGTTTTAGTGAAGTTCCTGAGAGTTAATTAAGCTTTAACCTTAATTTATACAATATTCTTCCTAAGAAGGAATTTTAATTGAGGAAAATATATCTTTAAAGTGCTTTCATGAAACAAAAATCTTGTACATCGCGGAGTTGAGTCACTTTTCATACTTACTCAGTTGAATTACTGGCAACTGTTGCTTCGGCAGCAGAAAGGTCGAGGTCGCTCGGTACAGTGCGCGTTGTTGGTAGTGAGGGTCGTGCAGCCGACATATTCTGCGACATGAACATGGCTCCCTTTTTCTCCTTAGACGGAACCCCAGTGAAGGATCTACAAATGTAAGCAAGGCACACGATGAGTAAAGATTTCACAAATTATTGTCAACATTTCTGTAATTATCTTAAGTATGTATCACAGGGCATAGTCACTTCATTAATATTTTCACTTTCTGTACTGTTATCTAGTTTTCTGTCGACAAGTTTTCTCACTTTTGATTATGACCTAGTCTCAAATGTGCAAATGCGACATAATTTCTCTGATTACGTTGGGTTCTCCATAACTTCCAAGTCTAAAAAGATTGTTGTGTTTATCTGGCAATAAGCCCATGCCTCCACAGAGGTAATAGCCGATGAGGACCTATATTCAATAGAAATAGAAATGGAAACAAATGCCATCTCTCTACTTGAGTTGGTCCCCTGGGCTTATTGCAGGACATTAATACTATGATGTTGTTGTGAGGGTGTGGTGTAGGTGTTCTTACTTTGACTTGACGGGCACAATATGCGACTCCTCCAGCCTGCGCTTGGCTTCCTCCAGCTGCACGGTGGTGTTGGGTGGAGTTGGGAGGGGCATTGAAGGGTCCTGGACGAACGGCTGTGTGGGCAGTGCCTGACCAGCAATCGCTGTCCAGGGCTGCAACATTCCAGTCCTCTCCACCGACGCTGACCGACTAGAGCCATGCCCTGTTGACTTCTTGTTTGATCTGGGAAAACAAAGAATATTTCTTCTTACATTCAAATTCTGACTTAATACGACACTATAACGTTCAAAAATATTTCACATTTTTAGTCTGTGACCGCCATTCATCTTTTTAGACCCTATTTTAATTTCCTTACATTCAAATTCTGACTTGATATGACACTAAAAAGTTCATTTTTAGTCGGTGACCACCATTCATGCTTACAGACCCTATTTTAATCTTGAATCAACAGCGATAAATTAAAATGTACAAAAGTTGAAAGTTTATCTTTTTCCCAAAACACCAAAAGCGCCATGATAATCATGTAAGGACAATGACAGTCATCTTTGCACATTAAGACTTTCTAGTGGTGCCTACCCTTGCTTGTGGGGAGTGGGTGTGGAAGTGGCGGTGCCAGACCGGAAACGCTTGTGGGACCCGCCCGTACGTTCGGTATCCGTGCTTCCAGTCGCTCCGCTACTGACGTGTTCGCTATCCCAGGAGTTGTCTCGCATCCAGCTCAGAACCCTACAAAACACCAAACATTGTCAACATTACTAACACATTCTAAACCATTGTGAAGTGAACTTATAAACATTACAACTGTTTGTATTTGATAAGAAAGTTTGCAGTCCCTGTGGTCATCTTATCAACTGATTCAGAGACAAACTTCCAGAAATCGATCGAAGTGTCCCACTCTTAGAATCTTACAAACTAGACGCGATTGTAAGATTCTGCGATGAGAATTGGCCGACTGTCACATTAGTATAGTATCTTTATCATGTACTTGAACAAGAATGTTATTGAGGCGATAACTTTTGCAGTTTAACATTGAACAGAGATCACTAAATCTACGGGGTATTTTTTGGAATTCAATTCTTATCAAATGTTATCTTTTAGAAACTTTATCTTTTAGAGACCCCATACAAAAATTTACAGTAATTGAAAATGAATTATCAAATGTCCCGATATTTTTTTCTTATCTATGTTGTCTTCTAATTAACTTTTATCTAGTAGGGGCCCAAATTTATAAGACCTCCAATAACCTCAGACAATGGACATTACTAAGGTGTTATCAAGTTCCGCCCCTCTAGGGGTTTAAGAAACGGTAAAACAGAAATCATACAATTCCGTACAATAGGCATGAGGTCATGTTATCAAATTTTATTTTGTGTCAAGTCATGTTTGCAGAGGTTGACAGGTTTTGTTGAGATTGGGGCCATCTTATTGTAGGGTAGCGTGCCGGCGCCTTATCTCCACACTTGGAGCCGGGAGTGTACAACATCGTTACAACATAATCAGACCTTTCCAACGTCTTCATTCATATCCAATTATTTCTTTACGGTTATTATTGTATCTAAACCCAGTTTTCAGGCAAGTTATGACTTTCTGATTGCCTTCTTCGACATGTGGGAAGTTTCAATGCATGAATGTGCGGTTTTGTTTCTTTTCCAACAAACAGAAAGTGGCTTATTTATAGAACCTCTCCTACATGCACTTAAACATGTTTGCCGGCTATACAAAACAGCCATCCAAGGGCTGGGGGGAACAATAAAGAAAACAGAAGGAAGCAGAGGTACATATGGCATAAGTTGTTTTTATGTGTTATCAAAATTATACTTAACCCCTTAATACCATTTCTATTTTTGGAATGTATCTGGAAAACTACAACTTCTGAGTTTTTACATTTTTCATGGTGAGTATTGGAAGGTCTTTGGTGTTTAATAAGAGGGTGGAGTGTACGATTAATTAACAAATACACGACGAAATAAAGCGTAATTGAGATGAAAGGAACAGCGACAGAAATTATGTTGCTGCTCCGCCATGTAAAATTCACCCTGTTATTATTGCTCGGTGTAATTATGGGGAACATTGGGAATCATGAGCCTGGGTGAACTGGTCTGTCCATCATTTTTCTTTTTGTGTTGAGGTGTCTGATTGATTGCTTGGTTTATCAGTCGAAACAAGAGTACTGAAAAGTGCAGATGTATTCCAGCATTGCTAGGAGATACACCGCCATATGGAGGAATTTAAGCTCTTGATCACCTCGAAAACACTCCTCTTCTCCAACTCAACCAAATGAAAAAGATTGTAGTGGAGAGAGAAAAAAATGTGTCTTGGTATGTATCAGCTTTCTGTGTGGTAAAAATTGTAGAGGGTCTGGTGGCCCTCGGAGATTGTAGTATCTTGTGCCTGGAGTTGATGATGAGTCCCTCCTACCTTTATGCCAACCTATTCCCTAGCACAGGGGAACTATGACGGGCATGCCTGCTAATTTCTATCACTGTAATTTGTAAAGTGGAATGGGAGACAGAGCAGGCTTAAGTAATGTCATCATTTCCATGTATCCTTACTACATGTATCCTTAACTTTTTTCTCTTCAGACACTTAACTTCAACTTAAAAAATATATACAGGGTGACAATTTGTTACGCCAAAAAAAACACCTTTTTTTTTACACCTGAAAAAGCCCCCCCCCCCCCCCACCCTCAGGGGAAAAAAAAAAGGGGTTTTTTTTTGTGGTAAAAAAATTTCCCCCCTTTTTTTTTAACCCGAAAAAACCCCCCCCCCCCCCCCAATGATGGGAGAAAGAAAAAAAATATAAAATTAAATCATGACTAATTAAATAAGAATTTATTTTATCATCGCCAGCAATAAAGAACTTACTGGAAGTTTTGTTTGCTTATGATCCTTCCCCATTTCCCCCCACTGTTGTACTTCAAAGCTGGCGAACAGACTTGTATAAAGTGAATCAGGCTAGTAAACAGAGGATAGACCCAGTGTTCCAACATCTTACAATCATCATGATATTAATTAGCAAGCCCTGGGCTGCCAGTACTTCGAAGCAACCATCATTTTCAAAGCCCTCCCCTTTCTTTTTTCATTTATTTGCTATTTATAACCCGATGCCGGTACCAAATGATACATGGCAGGGAAGCTGCCAGCACTGGGGGATGTGGCCCTTTGATGCAAGGTCCGATTTCAGCACAGGCTACTGATCCTTAAGTCTCACAGAAGCCTGCTGGCTGCATGGCCAAATGCTCGCCCTGACAGATGCTCCCGCTTGCTAAAGCTACCACACTCAAATTCCTTCAAAAGCTTTGCCCCATAACTCTCCATTGTGCCCTGTACAGAAAGCTGCCTTTTGAAATGGGATAGGGATAATTAGGAACTATTCATGATCAATTATGGCCCACAATTCATCTCCCCTAGATCAAAGACCCACTACCAAAACAAGTTTCATTTTTTTAGCCCGGGTTCATTTTCCTGTGTATTTGAATCTTTTGCCGGCCAGGATTACAGAACAGACAGGAAATTAAGACAACAGAAATTATAGAAGTGATCTGAAGTATCCTATCTCTGATAGAATTATCTGCTGAATACGATCAGCTTTCCGTTTACTGTATACATCAAGATTGAAAGTCAATATCTACACAAATCAGTAAATCAATAAAGATAGTGAAACGGGGACACTAAATGAAGTAAAAGATTTTTTTGTTTTACGTACAGTGCTTTGGTTAAATGGTTTAATTTTGTTAACGTCCTATTAGCTAAGGTCATTGAAGGACGTCAATGCAATCTATAATAACCTTTATGATATATAGAAGCAATTTTTCATTTCTTAAAAATTTAAAAATACATATAAATCCAAAACGTTGAAACTCATCACAAATTTAAAATGAAAAAGTTATCAAAACACACCAAAATAGTCTCCAGATAGTGGTCAAATTTTTTTAGAAATCTTCACCAATATAATGTGGTAAAATATGATTCAGTATCAAAATGAATAAAAAAGCACAGAACAAATTTAAAACATCAGAATTTTTTTTTGATTTTTTTTTGCAATTAAATATATTTTTCGTGAAATGACAAAAGTAGTGGTAAACGGAGCAGGTCTGAGTGATGAAGGGCCCGACTGATTTCTTAATTAACAGTCACAATGGGGGAGAGATTGGAGCTACCGGCTAGTTGTGAACTAAGATTTATGTAACAGATGTGAGACTGTATCTCGCACAGCAGGGATTCTCGCCAAGCTGCGGATGACATTCAAATGTTGGTGTTTCTAATATGATAAGAGGATCTTTGATCTGCCCTAACTGCTGAAAGCCTGTATGTGTGCCCCCAGTAATTTTTACAGATTCCTTTTATCAGAAAATCCTGAATCTGTAGAAGCATTGGGTTTGTTACAAGGGAGGCCCTGGACTGCTCCATACATCAAAGGGCCGTGTTTACTTTGAAGCCCACAGTAAGGTTTGCCCAGACTTAAATTATTCAATATAAACACCACATTCTGTCTAACATGTTGTAGCATGCCACCGTCTACCAGTTGTATCATCATCCTTCTTCTACAGTTGGTAGTAGTAGTAGTAGTAGTACATTTCTTTCGCAATCGATGCCCTTAAAACCCTGAGAGACTGATTTAACTCCCTTACACAGCCAATAAGCCGTTACCCAATACCCTTGAGATGGACTACAAACTGACAAACTATTAGCCTGAACACAGGGAAATGTAACCTGACCCCGACTCCCCTATATATAGCTGTTAATACCAATGAATTAGGGAGGCATACTACAGTTACATCATGACCCCAACCTTTTATTGGTTGAGTAGCCCTTTTATAGTTGTACTGTCATACCCAAATCTAGTGCTATCTATATATATATTTGATACTGTCATCCATGTAATTTTCATAAATACTTATTTCTGTGACAGCGTTTTGAATGAGTTATCAGAAGGATCCAAAATCGTGGAATACACAGTAAGTTATAAATATCCCTGTCAAAATATGTACGTATATTTTTTCATAACATTTTTTGTTTGCTTTGTTCATTATTTTCATCAAATTGACATCAACCTTTACATATCACAAAATACAAGTGTACGTAAAAGGCGTTAACTATATATCATAAGAGCACCATAAACTGGACCTATTTATTGCCAATCACAGGGCCTGTTACATATTGGTTGAACAACCAATCACAGGACCTGTTACATATTGGTTGAACAACCAATCACTGGGCCTGTTACATATTTGTCAACAAACCTACTTTGCAAACCACTCATAGGCTCTATAACATAACCGTGTTGAATCCAGATCTGAATAACTACATACAAAATTCTGTTACAAACACGCGGGACCTTTTGTATGTTTGTGTCCCCCACGGGGCAGACTTCGAAGCTCTACTTCATGACCAAATTGTTCAAATTTTATGGATATATGTACAGAGTCTATTATATTTTCTTCAACATAATACAACATGATTCACAAATACCATGTTTGAGAAATAAAACTATACTATGCAGTATTTTTACTTACTTTTCTGTTGACGGATCCATAGCGTTTGGCACAGCCATCGGCGATATGGACTCGATCATGCTTATTCCACTGTCTATGTTGCTGCTTGTATCCGAATGTTTACGATTAGCACGGCGTGTAGTCCGACCCCTATCTGTAGTTTCACTATTTCCTGACCCTTGTCCACGCGCACTAGAATTAGCATCACCCGGCCAACAACTCACATGTTGCTGAGCCTCAATTTCAATATATGTCTTGGACTTAGGGTCACGCGAATGATGGTGATGATGGTGATGGTGAATGTGACGATGTGTTTCCACGTTAGGTTTTTCCTCGCCCATTCCACTGTCAAACGAGGAATGATAGTCTGGACGTTTCTTGTGAAATGATTTGTTGTGCACTGCAGATGGCAAGGTGTTGGGCAAGGGCATTGTCTGATTGGGATTTGCCGATGACTTGCGATCGGCTGCCGACCTCTTTAGTGACGGTGACTGTTGTCCAGGCGACCGAGTGGGCGTCTGTTGAGCGGAGCTCTCCCATATTCGGGACACATGATCCTCCAAAATGCTATTCGGATTGTCGTCGTCCATTATCACAGCAGATGTCATTAAAGGCATAGAGGTAGCAGAGGACGTATTCCTCAACATTGCCGACCGGTCAAGTGACCGATCTAATCTGTCTATTGACCGATCCATGGATCGATCTATTGACCGGTCTATAGACCTGTCGAGTCGTTCAAGTCGGTCTACGGATCGATCCACAGTCCTGTTTAACATTGATCTATCCACTTCCTCCAGGTCGGACTAAAAAAATGGGAAAGACTATTAAAATCTCTTTGAAAAGCAGTCATTTTTTTCAATTGACAGTCTCAATTGGCATTTATTACAATAAAACTTCATTATATCAATAATTTTAGGTGTTTTTCTCTCAATATTTCAAAAAGATGCCGTGAAGCAACACAATTGTTGTGTTATCTTGTCAAAGAACTGAATATGGTAAACAAGCTTACCTCTAAAATCCTACTCATAGAGGCATGAAGTTTCTCCTCTTTCTCCCGCTCCTTCAAAACTCGCTCCAGCTTCTCCATCAGCAGGGCTGCAAACTTTTTAGGATTCACTTCAGCAATATTGGAGTCCTTTGGTGCTCTCTGAGTACGCTGCAAAACAAGCAAAATATTTTCTGTAAACTGAGAAGATGAAAACTTTCAGTCAAATGTACAACTCTGTTTCATGACAAGTTTCCCTTAATCAGAATCCTGGACCAACACGGTAGAGCTTCAGCATTGTTAACCAAACATTAACCAGTTTAAATATTTCAAAATATTATTTTTTTTGCAAATAATTCAAAATATGCACGACGTTTCATTCTTTTCATATTTACATGAATGTTTTGAACCCAAACACAGGCAGTTTACTTTCGTTGAGAAAATAATAGTGAAAATGATGGATGTCGCAATGAAATGAGCAAGTTATATAAAAGCCTGTCGGACTTAAGCTTCAAACAATACGAGTCTGATGACCAAACAGGGACCGGGATAGGCTGGTGTATGTAAATTGTATATGAATACATGTATCAAACACCTCATTGCCTTTTGTCTACAGGGATGTCATGCTCTCTGAAGCCTTTATGCCCTGATATATTAACTAGGAAAACAGCCTTTGAGTCCACAAACATGATACAAATCAACCCGAGCCATCAAAGCCTGTTTTCAAGCCTTTGTTGTCATCCGATTGTTTTTGAAAGTATATCCTCCAGGATGTTTTCTACCTGCACTTTCTATTTGTTCTAACTGTGGCTAGGTTTATTTATACCGGATCAAATGAAAGAATTATTGCAGCATCGCAGCATATCAAAAAGACGAAAACAGCAGATGTGTTCATAAAATTTTTGAAACAGATGCAAAATTTATTTTCCTTGATTACAAGCTACAGTAGATTGTTTTGCAGTCGGGAACTGTTGTTTATTTTAAAATCACAAAGGGGATTTATTTCAACACAGGACCCAGTTCAAATATACCTGTAAAACAACCTGTGACAAGCCGTGATCGTATAGAGCTATTAAGGTCCCCTTTTGTCTTCTCTCGTTTGTTTGTTAATTGTTTTTATCTGTATGGATCTTTCAAAAACAAAACAAAAACGAAAACCAACATGAAAAGGGTCTATTTCCTTATATCCAGGCGCACACAGAAACAATGAAAAGCAAGTGTGTGCATTATTAATTAAACATCACACACAAAAAACGCCCGATATCTTCATCAAAGATCAGACAACATGTAAGTGTGGCTTCTGAGGTAAGTTCTGCCTTGTTCTCCGAGATTTCAAAGGCCGAACCGCTAACAGGACAGGGCAAAGTGATGAAACCTTCAATAGTTTATGAAATATGCAGGTAAAATGTCTGCCGCAAACATTCGAGTGATGACTGGGTTTTGACATGAAAGAGATCCACTAACGGCTGCCTCGCTTTTTGCTTCACTTTCAACAATCAACATAACTAGGGACCAGGGGCTGTGATCCAACAGATGTGATACACTTGAAATGCAAGTATGGGTGTGTCTGGTTTTTTTAAATTCGTACTTTTATTTTTTGAAACACAAACAGATCTGAAGGAGTTGAAAAGTTGTTAGATTTGCGTACAAAGGAGTGGGGGTAAACTAATTAAAGACCGTCGCTTAGGTGCGAGGTATCTGTGTAAAGAGATGGAGTATCTCCAGGCAGAAAAACAATCTCGAAAACTTGGGAGAAAAAAATGTATTTTCGTAGTTGAAGTTTCACATTGTTGGGTAACTGAGTAATTGGATGTTTCTCGTTTAAATAAAACCCAGATGCACAGAAGGGGTAAATAAGGGGTCGACAGGAGAAATGAGGTAGACAAACAGCAAAAAGGAGATGTGATGACACTTTGAGGGGGCTGAAAGGGACAGGAGAAGGAAATGGGGGAATAATAAGTTAGATAATGTTAGAGGGTACAGCAGCATACACTGGTAGTTGAGTAGGAAATTGATTGTAATGCGTGTTTAATGTTGGGTACATACAGGTATAAATTGTTGATGAATTCCGCTCTCCCGATTTTGTTCTGCCCGTTTGCGCATCGCCCTGCGTTGCCTTTTCCACATTTTGTCATTGTCGCTGAAAGACAAAACAATGATATTTAAAACATCATAAATAATAAACACGAACAGTTTTAATTTTGAGAAGAATTTGTTTCCCCCAATAATATAGTTACAGCATTTTTTCCACAAGCTAAATCATTTACGATCCGATTTTCTGTAAAAGCAACTTTATCTGGAACCAATTTCCTGATAAAATCAGGTGGTTTCCATGGCGATCCGAGTATTGATTGACCATTGCCGGACATCTGTGAATTGGTCAGTCTGGACATTGTTAATGCCAGCTTTATCGGCAACTAGCACTGTAATAATATTCACAGGCAGAAAAAAGACCATTGATTAGTGCATGGCTGCCTACACAAAGTTATTCATCCAATACTATTAAACAATTTCAGGTTCTGTTTGTTTGGCAAACACACCCGGACTACACACATGTACAACATGGGGAAATATCAGTTTTGTACGCATACAATGTCCTTTGAGGTTGGACATCAAAGGACTTTCGGCTTGCTGCCTTGTTGCCTCCATGTAGTATGCTATGTGTCACTGGTTCACTGTCATTAGCCAACTTTTCTGCTTAATTTACACTACATGTGCACAGCTGTCATGTGGACCCTGCTAAAACGATGTTCAAAGGCTCGAGTACTAATTATTGGAGGTCCCCAACTTAGCTCAGCCATTGTGTGTGTGAACAGTGGGCTTGGGAGACTCTGGTCAGATCAAACGCTGCACATCACAATTATTTATCGTCCAACCAGTAATCATTATACTATTAATCACAATACTGTTCTAGAAAAAACAACCAGATCCCTAATAAGTGTTTGGCCTGTATTAAAAAAGGTCAGGATTGTATTTGATCTTATTTCTTTTTAAGTCCTTTTATTTCCATATTTCAGCTTTCATCCTCCCTAATTCCATAAAAAGTATTGAATGATTCTGCAAACAACAAACAGTCGATTCATTAAATATTCCTTTTTAACCCGGTTTGTTCTCTCTCAAAACCCTGTTAAGTCGGAGCTGCCTGGTGGTGCATTTTATTACCATTCGCTCCTATCTGAGATAAAACTACACAAATGGGTCGGATCTTTAGAGAGAATTTTACATGTCTTGGGACCACAGGTAAGTTTCCCCTGGGGAGGCCCCTAACAGGTCTAAGCCAACCTCTTCAAAGCTTTCAGTGGTAATGCAGGCTGGATGGAACACAGGTATACTTCAAAGGGAAATCCCCATAAAAGATTGTATTGGGTATGAGCAAAGGGCCATCGAAGCAGGGATCAAAGGCTCCGAAAACAATAAACCGCTTCAAAAACCTACCCAAGCAAGGATTGACTCGAGATAATTAAATTATGGCTAAAGTAAAATACAGGTTCCCTTGCTGTTAAAGGCCAAGACTGATGCTTTGAAATCGCAAGAAGTGTATCAATTCACTGTACGTCTCAATAGGGGCTTTAAAAATATGTTTGAAAGAAAAATATTTATAAAGTTGTTTTTTGTACGAGTACACAGAGATGTCAGTGTCGGGGCCAGTGATCAATGCGGAAAAATTATTTCATCTCGAAAAAGCTGCTATTTTCTGTGCAAGCGAAACAGATTACTTGAAAGTGTAGCCCGTAATTTCCTTTTACACAGCGTGGGATAGGAATTTTGGAGACGGATATTAAACAACATGACGAGGAACCAAACAACACAGACAACCAACATCATAATTAAGTTATCACATCATTGCCCCTTAAAATTTAATGGATGTTTACTTAAATTCAGGTTTAAAACATCAAGTTTACAGGCTACAATTTTGAATTATTCAACGTCAATGTCAGATTCATAAATATTTGTCTGTTGTAGCTACTGTATTTCGTAGCACTTATCAATAATGTTTTTTGAGAAATCATAAAAATGGAGAGAAAAAAATGTGAATAATTCAAAATATTATTAATATTAATCTATTTCACCATGCAAATAAAAACTCAAACTGAGAAATAAGTTTCTAAAGACCTCACCAATACTTGTTTTGTTTCAACCACAAGCTTCATCTAGATCGAAACACGGCTTCGACTTTAATTACTGATAACTATAGTGGAAACATCACTTCAAGTTTAACTGGAATTCAAGTGAAGTCGTAACATTGCGATAAACTTGAGCCCACACCTAGCTAGACTTCAGGTGAAGTGAGTACACAGGGCCCGAAATGAGATGTATACACATAGGGCTGTAGACTCCTCGACCAACCCTATCTCCCAAATCGCTGATCAAACGAAACAGAATACCTGTGTGCGTTTATCAATTTGACACCATTTATGTTTTCGCTCTGTCATTTAAACCCATATGAAGGCTACACTACCAGAAAGAAAGTTGTATAACCCATTTAAAATCCTGTCTGCCCTGGTTAAACAAAGTGGACTCTGCCATTCTTTGATTCAGTAGAGTTGATGCTCCATAATGGGGTTGAATTTAAGCTGGCTGGTTGCACAGCTGCATTCATTTATTTAATATACATATTTCAAATGAATTGAAAATACCATGTACCTGTCAGTTAACTATACACAGCCTGCTCAGGTGTTTTAACTGAGCAAGCCTCCGACATTAACACCCATCTCTACATGTGCAGCAGCAATTTCATCCTCAACACACCTCATCGCCTCAGTTACACCGAAAATAACATTTTATTTGCCACTGACTTACTTGTACTCTGATTAAGCCCTGTTCCAAAAATTCCTTTTTTAACGGAAACGTTTTACTGAACTGAATGTATTTATTTTGAATTCTCCCCAAGGCTCTAACCTACAAGTACAATACACTGACCTAATATGACATTTCCTTTTTACAACAAAGCTTTATAAATAAAAGAAGTATTTCTTTGATCTATATAAAGTAGATCCTAAAATTCTGTATGAACGTGAAAAAAGTAGATAAAAGTCCTTCAAGTTTAATGGCCCATACAACCAAAGCTTATCCTGGCTTCTGTGACATAGCAACTGAAAATGCATGACCCACTGGAAGGATGCCATTCTTTCACAGAATTACTTCTCAATATGCTGGTTACAATCTGTACAGCTCGATAGACTGGAGCATAATGGCATAGAGTGCCTTGTCCAAGAACAGGATAAAATAAACTCTAGGGTAAGAACAGACCTACAATATATATGTCTGTGCAATTGTACTAGTTAATAAATTTGATATTCTGCTCACCAATTATCTTATTCATCCAACTACTATATCTTCATATTACCATCACCATAACCAGTAACTAGTAGATGTTTCCAAATAAAATACCTATCCCAAAAGCCACGATATAATTCAATATTCAGACTGATCATTTTACAGATGTCATCAATTTCGACATTTAGAGATAATGTTGATCCTAATACCAGTTACTACTTACACACTGCTGTCGATTGAGCGCGTGTCGTCGGTCAAGGCATCACTGGATAGACTCTGAATCTCACTGTCCTGGGCAGATACTGGCGCATACGACACATGGTAAGGGTGGGCTACAGACCTCTGTGGTGCAAACGGCACAGGAAAACTGAAAAATATCACAATAACAATTAATAAACATTTTACATAACGGCCTTTTTTCTTTTATTCCATAAAACAAAACAATATTAAGAGATATTTTTCTTCCGAAATTCACCTAATGAAATGAGTTATAAAATTTTAAAAGTCATGTACACATATGTATTTGATATACAACCACATCCTTAACCGTGTTAATGAAAACAACAACATTTTTATGAGATTGCAGTGGGCGAGTACAATTCTGTATCAAATTACAATTAACACATTCAGAAAGTACATAAATCCATACAGCACAGATTATACCAATTTAATTGACAATCAAGAAATCATAATGAATATTCATTAGCAGACTGAAACAATAGACATTGTATGAACCACAACATTAATGTAATGTACATCAGCTTAATTTTTCAATCAATCATTCACACGGAATACGTACATGTCAAACCGTATTACAATATCTATATTGAATGCTTTACAAGATAACAATCACTTTAAACAAAAGTCTACACAACTGTTGTATTCCCCAAGTGTCATTTTGTCTTAAAAAGTTCACTAATCTTTAAAATGTAACACTGAAGAAATGATCTAAAAAGTTAAATGATGGAATTAATATCCTTCTTTGATCAACAGATTTTTGATGGGCAAAAATGAATCATCTAACATTATTTATTCTGTGTATATATATATATATATATATTTAGTGAAACTCTTGAAATCTAATTTACAGGAGACAATTATTAACCTTGACCGAGGTCTATACAAAGATTTATCAACACATGGAAAAAGAAATTTCTGCTATGGCATACAGGTAATATAATAAAAACGTAGATCTTGTAATTGGAGTATCTTGAGTGAACACAATGAATGTAATGAATTTGGGGTGGGCTGGGCAAAACACACTGTTGTATAATTAGCGAGTTAAGTCAGACGGTTGTTGTGTTCATGGAGATTCTATTATAATGACTGCAATTATGTCACTAAATAGACCATCAACCTATCTATTATTTGCATCCGCACTGATGTAGGTAGAGTTCGGTAACACCCCTTTGGATCCAAGACCACAGGTGCACATGTACATGTACACCCATATATACTCAAAATATAGGATGTCATATCAACATGTATACACTGGGTATTTTTTTTATTCAGTGGATGTACAGTGTAAAAGGATAATTTAACAAACACTTTTGCTGTTTTCAATCCCACCCAGAACCTCAATTTTTTTAAACATTTGTTTCTCCTGGTTAAATTATGACTTAATTCACTTGGACCAGATGCTGGGAAAAAAGCCTTTTCTCCTGTCTTGACTTTTATATATATATAAGTCTGAAGAAACACACCATATCTAGATACGAACAAAGAAGTTCAGGATCAAACTACCAAGTTTGTTTCATAGTTATAATCAAAACGCTAGTGTGTTGGATCCAGAGATCTTGATATTCGGGGAACACTATATACATAGTTATAAAGCCTGCCTCCCCCTTGAAGTAGGCAGTCAGAGTACAGAGGTACCTACACACTGGAGGAGCAGTATAGTAAAGCCCCACCACCAAAGCCTCAAGTGCTCTCTGGCACAGATCAAAGCGGCCATCCGACCATGAATTCCTCTATCATCTGTGTGCCTTCACTTGAAGCACTAACCTACATTGGGCTGGGGTTTTATCCCCTCTCTTTTGTGTGCGTGTGTGTGTGTGTGTGTGTGTGAGTGCAAGAACTCAGCTGATACCAGGATTTTGAACATTTTAAATTCTATCTAGTGTAATGGGATACACTAACAGGAATCCGGGCCATGACAGGCGGGTGATGTTTGTTCACTGGTCAATAAAAACAATACCGTTATAATAATAAACATTACAGAGCCAGGTAATCTACAATTATCAAAATTATTGTTACAACTAGATATATATAATAAATATATTAAAAGGGTTTTAAAAATATCAAAAATGTTTCATCATGATTATTTTATTAACCCTTTCTCCACTGTAGACCAAAATGGACTTATCCAGATCAATACATGGTAGAGTTAATAAAGATACATAGGGGTGAAATGGTCAAACTGTATGTATCTAGTATAGTAATTTTAAAAAAAACATAATTTCTTTCAATTCAATAGTATTCAGAAATTTTTAACTAAAGAAATTCTGATCTTATATGATCAAATATGCATCTGAAAGAAAAAAAAATCCCCCAAACTACAAAATGAAAAGGCCTCTTTGATTACTTTCCCCTAAAAAAAACTGTGAAATAGATGAAACGCAAGTTGAGATGAGTCAATTTCCGTGTACTATTTACAATGTGCGAGTGTTCTGGAGGTATTCCTCTCATCAACCAAGTGGAACCTATCAGCAAGCCTGTGTGATCTGGCTCAAGCATGCGTGCCTGCCTTTTGAGTGGTTTTCTACCGCATACCTGTCGCCAAAGCCAACTCCCGGTACAATACCTGGACGGAGTGACATAACATAGTGGGAGAGGGGGGAGGGAGGGATCACCCAGCAGATAGGCCTAAGCACCAAGGGATATCAACGATACTTTAAAATTGTTCCTTATACATAATAGTCTGTGTCCTCACTGTCAACAACACAAGTGCTTAAACCAGAACCGGTCTGGGCCATATGTATTCCGTTTTAACTTCCCAACTTGCTTTGATGTCAACTTTGTTCAATAATTTATGGTGGTGAACTAACACAAGTGTTGGCAATTTTCCAATGCCATACATAAAAAGACGAAAAATAGCTTTGAGAGTTTAATTGGCTGTCACAAGTTTTTAAGTCAATTTTCCTTGTTAAGTATCAAAGAACAATGCAATTATGCCATAATAACTCATTTTCACAGGTTGATGAAAAGTTGAGGATTCAAAGCTTTATGATTTCTTTATGAATGGCAGTGGTTTATTTGATAGCAAATTAAACTGAATGAGTGTTGTGTATAATGTGTGTTTCTAGAATTCTGTTGTCTCCTATTATTTTCTATATACATCAATATTATAATAAACCTACTACCGGTCAAAACAGGTGTAACCCGATGCTTCAGCAATGGAAGCTCATTAGCACACACTTGTGAACTGCCCAGGTGGAATGAGGCAGGCTTTGGACAGGACAAAGCCAGTGGTGGCTAGTGCACTCAACGGCCCCAAGCCATTAAGCCCCTCCATGTAACTCTGTACGCAGTCAGTGTAGTAGCTACTAAATAACTGTAGGGCATTTTCTGTGACCTCTTTGGCTAGTGCAAGGTATATCAACTTCAGCCAAATGAAAGCATGGACATGATTTGTCGGATCAATGCAAGTCTATTGGGTTGAACATTGATCTTTCCACTGCTATTCTTGATGAGGGTGATACACGTGTAGGGTATATTTGGGATGGTGGGGACCGAGTTGTTCATGCATGTACACAATCGCACACTGGACTTAATCCAAGTACAGTACTTGCGAGTTCTTTACCTCTATTTGAACAGCTAACAAAGTCGTACATAAGGATTTCTTTTTTTCAGTGCTGACCTATTTTGGGCGAATAATAATAGTAATATACAACATTTGATATAGCGCCCTATCTAGCTAACATAAGCCACTCTAAAGCGCTTTACAGTACATAGATATACAATTTATACAATTAGAATAATAAAATAACATATTTATACATGATACTTAACTTAGTTATCTATTTAAATGTATTTCAGCAATACCGTCATTAATTCTAGCTGACAAGTTTTTCGTCTAAGGTATCTATTGAAAAATATTCTGTAATTGTGTTGCATATAATAATTTTACCGTACATGTTGACCTTTTACCGATAGTATCACAATATGAGAGAACTGTTTCCCATCCAGTTCACAATAAACAACACACCTAAAGCACTACATTACACCATGTTGACTTAGATAGTATTACAATACACATTCGGTCGGTCCACAGATTCCTGTTGATACATTCACCTGTTTACAGCTTTGTTTACGTACGATGGAAGTGTAATCCAGGTATGTAGTACAAAGTGTACTCAAGATATATATATTTCTGCTATCGTTGTACTTTTATATTTTAACAAGCTCAAGTCATACAGTGCAGTTTCTAATACAAGAAACATTTATTAAAGTCGCGGATAATGGCCAGTTTGTACGTTTTACAGAGCGTTCCAAACCTTGAGGTGATATGGTACGCACACTAAATACACAGTACAGAACTGTATATATATATATCGTGTAAACCTTAAATTGGCAAATTTTGTGTTACGTTACCAGCTTAGAATAAAGAGCATACATCAAAACCCTGACTCTTCAATCAACTGTTATTTTTTTTGTTCTGTGTAATCTTTTTAAATCTAATAAACCCTTAGCGTGTATGGATCTTTTTACATTTTTGTGGTACTATGCACTCGAAGAGAAAAATTTGCCTTTGATTGCTAAGTGATAAACCCTTGAACTTCTATGGTATTTTTTTTCATCTCTGCCTCGGGCAGAATCAATCGGACAACCTCAGCTTGGCATTAATCTGAAAAGATTGGAAACAGGAAATCTCTGGTACATCACATGGTCTTTGTTCCACCCCAGTTCGAAGTTGTCGGACGTTCAATTTTCAAATTCAAAGTAAATCTGCAAGTGAAATTCCAAACGACAACAAACAACACTAAATCAAGCACGTTGGATGCTTACCTACTGAAGGCTTCGGAGGAGTGTTTTTTAGCACCAGAACTTTCTCCTTGACTTGACCTTGACACATTTGAACATTTACCACTAATAGGGGGTCCACATACGGAGGAGGACAGGTGAGTCCCATTGGTTTGAAGTTCCTGGTCCTCCATAAGCGGGGGAAGAGGTCCCACAGACACTGGTCGCGTAATGGACCCACTTGACGTGTTACTGCTTTTAGGACTCTCCCCACCCTTCTGGACATATTGCACATATAAATCAGACTTAATAAATAATGGATAAGTATTATTCCTCATGTCTTGTTCCACTTCCGTTTGTGCCTCATCGAAAATATCACGATTGAGATCCACACGTCTTTGTAACTTTTCATGTATATCCCTTTTGGTAGCTTCACTTATACATGGCAGTTTATCAGATTTAATATACTTTTTATGGATCACGCGTATCACATTTGCAATACTCTCGCCAGAATTTTTCTTTTTCAGACCCTGGCAAGCAAACCAGAATTCTACTGCATATGAACCAAGACCTTCTTGGTCCAGGAAGTTTCGAAACTGCTCAACACCTTGTAAATCCTCGAGTAAATAATTCAAATTTTCGGCCCATTTCATGAAAGAGGGAGTACTATTTTCATTGAATGGTGGCGAACTTGAGGCGCTGCCCTCTGGTTCGAAGCCTAGTGGGGCCATTTCGTCATCGTCTATGCAGCTTACACTCATTGACTGGGCGGACTTGTCTTTGTTGGAACGGCGGGGAGTGACAGCAGGAGAATCTCCTCGGTTGGACCCCATACTCTTGGAGGATGTCTGACTTTTGTTCGACAACTGGCTTTTGTGTGAGCCGCTACTCCGAGTAGAGACTCCTCCATTCGAAACCAGCTCATTTTCCTCCCCGTACACTGGGGGCCGGATAGCGGACTCGGTGAAGTTGCTGCCCCCGGACTCATTGAGGAACTGATGTACTTTGCTTGTCATCTTGCAGACATGGTACTGGTCCAACGAAGAGATCGAATTGTCAAGTCATCATCTGGAAAATGGAAAAAAAATAATCGTTAAACACTTTAATTGCTGTCTAACTGAATATTATAATTCCAATTTACATAAAATTGTTTCAATATTCAGTGATATGTATTCCGTCTTTGCGTATTGCAGAGTTATCGTCTCTTTAGAGGAGGGGTTGATTGTTACGTCATTGGTTCGTGTGAGAAAATTACGTCGTTTTCTCAAAAAATGATGACGTTACTCTCACAAACAAATGACGTAACAATCAATACCTGCTCTCAAGAGAAGATAACTCTGCAATACACAGACGGAATAAGAACTTCAGTTTCGCTCATTAGTGTTAAATTGGTTATCAGTTTTAAACTGTTCATATGAACAAATTTATACCCATGTTATTGCATTTAACACAGGAATATTATGGTGAAATGCATGTCATTTAGTCAGACAACACTGGAGGTAATTCCTTCCAGTCACATATCAAAGGCCAAACAAAAACATTTGGTGTTTACGATAACCTTACATATGATACCACTCTCCTATATAAACCACATAAAATTATTCTAAAAAATAAAACTTGTTACAGGAAACACCAAATGTTTTTGTCTGGCCTAATAAGTCAGAAGCAAAATAATAACATACACTACATACAACGTATCAGCATTTGTTATTACTCCTGCATGACTTTTGTATACATATGAAAATAAACAAAGTATAATTAAAAGGCATGCCAGTATGTCATTTTCTTCTCTGGTCTTATTATCAAAACTGCATTACTAATGGAGGTGGTGTTCAAACAACAACAATAAATACATCATCATTTGAAATGAGCTATGTATGTAATGGTAATATCTTTTCACCTATCAAAATAAATTATATGACAATATTCAATCACCTACGCTGCTTCAATATGTTGGCTACGTGGGACACATGTGGGCTTCTTAATGTATCTTTAAGATTGGCCAGGTAGTGATTATGGATAAGGTGCTTTCCTTCATCCAAAAAAATGTAGGCCCTAAAAACATCTCGGGCTATTATGCCACAATGGAGACCTGGTATTTATCTAGTTCTACCTTTAACATTTAAAATAATTCAGTTTATAAGTGTTTTCAGTAATATGTTGCAGTTAAATCTGGTCCTCTCTATGTTGGTATCAAATCTCGGCAAGCTTGTGGCTTTCCACCAATTTATGACCCCGTTTCTTTTTGAATGAAATCCCACATCGCTAAAAGCAGGTCGAACACGAACAATGAATTGTTAAATCTAGAATAAAACACATCTTCGACGTTTAAATTTATATTGAACAACTGGCAAATACACCCATACTTACATTTCTTTGTCTTAACGTCACAAAATTTGCACATTTCATAGCGAAAAAGAGTGAAATTAGTCGGTATTACCACAATCCACATAGAGGACATGAGGCCGCCATTATGGCCTATGCAAATATCGGGGGCCACGAAGGGGATACGGTAAAAAAATAAATCTTCAAGAGAACATCAACATTGTAATACAATGTTTTAAAATAAAAGATTTTGTTGTTCTTTAAATTGGTTTTTGTTTAAGATTTTTAATTCATGGTGTACATTAAGTTTATTCCCTCTCTTTATATAATATTTTTTTCCTTTAAATAAAGAAAACTAAATATTCAGTACAACTGTACTGAAGTATATATTGATATTATGAAGTAATTTTCTATTACAAACTGTTAGAAGTTATAAATAAAAATATCATAAATCAAAACTTTGATACAAAATCTATGTAATTGTTCGAAAATTTTCATTTCGACATTTATAAGATTACCATAAAAACATAAATAAACAATATTAATGACCATATAATATCGAGCACCTGTTTATCAATTAAAACCGGACAAATCGCACAGGAGAATCAACGTTTCAAAAGTGACTGTTGATATTAATAAAGTTGATTTTGGTTCAAGACAAAACGTGATAAAATTGACATTGTTTATGCCTATCAAAGGCGTGAATCTCCCACTTCACACCAACCACCGGAATTTGGGCAGCACATTTTTTTACAGAAAATAATAAACAAGAGCGTGGGTAAAACACAAATCGAAATATATCCCGTGTATTTTTACCGTATTCCACTGAAATGTCACACACATATATACAAGACACATAGATACACTTCTAGGGGAATAGCTCGTAAATAATCACCTACGAATCTCTTGTGCTGTCTCAAATACAACAACATAGGATATCCATGGTATTCAAAATAGTCCGTATGAAAGTGTGGTGAGTAGGAATCCTGTGTGAGACCTTCCGTAGTCAAGTTTTAGTTAGATATGCACAGCAGATGAAACACAATGTAAAATTAACACGTACCTGTTCCGATTTGCTTCTTATGCATATAAAACAAAAATGGCGTCTCACTAATTTCAAAGTTTTGAATCCGAGACGATTCTAAACATCAAAGCCACATGCCCGCCGCCGACAATCCTTGTTACATAGTGACGTCACAAGCCTTTAGATGTACCGCACCAATCAGCGGGAAGATAAAATCAGCATTCACAAAAATGTTATTGACGAGTCTAACATGCCAAGGGGTAACAGGATAGTAAAAGTAATCATCATATTCAATCATAATTACACAAAGAAAATATGACTGCAGGTCCCACTCAACACATTTAATAGATAATTTAGGAGAAACCTGTTTTTTATTTAACGGAGAAGAATGAATATTTTTGTTTATAAAAATCCGTACATATTAACCTGACCTCCCCTGTACCTATTTCTTACATTTGATAGCTTCCGATAGACAACAGTCAGTAGGGAGAATCTAAACTCTTAGATCTTAAACGCGTTTAAATATTAAAATATGGAAATAACCAAGTGATTGTATAAAAACTTGACAAAGAGATGTTTTAGATTGAGACACGAAGAAACACATTCTGTCGTTTCGGACTTAAAACAAGTTACTGAAATGACGAAATCTGTCGACAAATGTTCCCTTTATTGATAATTCGTTGCCCCTATAAATTACATACATAAGCTTGAGGCGCGCTTTGAAGTCCTTGGTCAGTGCGTTAGCTTGAGTTATAAATCTGCTGGTAAGTGCGGCCCCGTGAATTTTTTGAACGAAATCTTTTCATGCATACTCCTACGAACAAAGTGATTTACACATGTTTCGGGTCAATTTGATTTCGACTCATCGAACTATGATATCGTATTATTATTATTATTATTATCACTATGAACACATAAGATATGGAATGGTGATTTTTTTTTGTGTGTGTGTGATACATACACATGTATATTAGGAAGTATACTACGAATGTTTATTGATTTAGAAAAATAAAAATGATAGATTGAAAAAAAATATATCAAAAAATGTACTTCATAATAATTTTGATTTAAAAAAAATCATTAATTACATAATCAAGACTGAAGTAATTATGTGATTAATGTTTTTTTAAAAAAAGAGATTATATTTGAAAAATAACCTGTAATGTTTCTTTGTAAAAAAAAATCAACTCTATTTCTTTATAGATCTTTAATTATAATTATCATTTATTAAAAGAAACAGAAATTAAAAACCATAAAATTGTTGATTTATTTTGATTAAATGGAGTTTAACGTGAATAAGATGTTTTATCTTTTAAAGTACTTTCATAATATAACTCATCGTAAACCTGTTACGTAATACTTTGCACTCAACATAAATATTTTAATATAAATGTACGTCCACGTTCATTGTCATGCATATGGCTGTGTAATTTGAGAGCATTCGTTTCAACGCCTTACGACGGCTTCTGTAGTGTTCCATAAGGCCCTCTCGTCTTCAAAGGGACCGCGATCCTTTGTCACGCCGAGCTTGACTCAATTATACCGCACTGGCGTAGAGGCGACTGAACCGGTAACAACAAACACTGTTTTTCTTTCGTTTCAAAGATAACGAGTTTGTATGAATATAAATTCAAAGAAACGAGGAAAACACAGACTAATGTTGACATGACTTGTTGGATAGTCATAAAATGTCTCTTAGTCACAATTACTCCTAATTGGGTTTTAATTTTTTGCTAGTATTTAACAACAATCGTCTTGTAAAATATATCCCACGGCGAATTATTTACCGATTGGAAAACGGCCAAAGATTGATGTGCTTAAGTTGAAAGAATGTATTGTTTCACGAAGAAAGGGAACAGAGACGACGAAATATGTGACGAAACTGATTTCTGATAACGCTAAGGAGAGGTTGGAATGCCCGCAGGTATTCTACAAGTAGAACGAGACCCGATAGATAGCCTGCAGGACTAAGTTCGATCCGACAAAACAGCAAAGTAGGGCTTTCTTGGTAGTAATCTTTGTAATGATATGGTATTGTACTCCTGTCTCTGTGACGTGTCAACATGGTACGTTATGCATGATGTGACGTTGAAAGTTGTGAAGTGACATTAAATTGTATGGTTAGCCTTTATATGATGTATCGTGGGTAAAACATGATTTATGATGTTTTGTGTAATGTGGTAAAGTGTTGTGGTATGGTCCAATTTGGTTGTGTAAAGTGTAATGTGGCATGGTGTGGTGTGGTATGGTGTGCAATGCTATGCTATGGTGTGGTGTGGTATGGTATGGTGTGGTGCAATGTGGTGTGATACGGTATGGTGTGTTGTGGTATGGTATGGTGTAGTGTGGTATGGTATGATGTGGTATGATGTGGTGCAATACGGTATGGTATGGTGTGTTGTGGTATGGAGTGGTGTGGTTTTGTACCGTATGGTCCGGTATGGTTTTGTAAAGTGTTGCGTGGTATGGTGGTATTTTGTGTTGAGGTGTATTATGGTGTGGTGTGGTTTGATGGGGTGTAGTATGTTGTATGGCATTGTATTGTGTAGTTTGGGATAGTGCAGTGTGGTATGATGTAGTGTGGTGTGTTGTGATGGGATGTAGTATGGTATTTTATTATGTTGTGTGGTATGTGGGGATTTATTTGGTGTGGTTTAATGAGGTATACTATGGTAAAGTGTTGTATGGTGTGGTGTTGTATGGTGTGGTTTGGTATAGTCTGGTAGGGTATGTTTTGGTGTGGTGTGCTATGGTATGGTGTGGTATGATATGATATGGTGTGGTGTGATATGGTATGGTGTGGTGTGATATGGTATGGTGTGGTGTGGTGTGGTATGGTATGGTGTGGTATGATATGATATGGTATGGTGTGGTATGCTATGGTATATTGTGGTGTGATATGGTATGGTGTGGTGTGATATGGTATGGTGTGGTATGATATGATATGGTATGGTGTGGTATGATATGGTATGGTGTGGTGTGATATGGTATTGTGTGGTGTGGTGTGGTATGATATGGTATGGTGTGGTGTGATATGGTATGGTATAGTGTGGTATGATATGGTATATGGTGGTGTGATATGGTATGGTGTGGTGTAATATGGTATGGTGTGGTATGATATGGTATTGTGTGGTGTGGTATGATATGGTATGGTGTGGTGTGATATGGTATGGTGTGGTGTGGTATGGTATGGTATGGTGTGGTGTGGTATGATATGGTATGGTGTGGTGTGATATGGTATGGTGTGGTGTGATATGGTATGGTGTGGTGTGATATGGTATGGTGTGGTGTGGTGTGGTATGATATGGTCTGGTGTGGTATGATATGGTATGGTGTGGTGTGATATGGTATGGGATGATATGGTGTGGTGGGGTGTGGTGTGATATGGTATGCTGATGTATGGTATGGTATTATATAGTGTGGGGTGGTATGGTGCTGTATGACGTTGTGTGGTAGTGTGTATTGTGGTATAGCGTGATGTGATGTGGTGTAGTTTAATGTGGTATAAAGTGGTTGTGTTGTAGGGTGGTGTGATATGGGGAAGATTGGTATAATAGGATGTGGTATTGTATGGTTTAATATGGTGTGATATATTGATGTTATGGTGTATTGTGGTATGGTTTGGTATGGTGTTAGATGTATTGTGTTGTTGTGAGGTAAGATGTGGTGCTAATTGATATTGTATGGTATAGTCTGGTATGGTGAGATTTGGTGTAGTATGGTATGGTATAGTCTGGTATAGTTTGGTGTGATATGGTATGGTATGGTATAGTCTGTATGGTGTGATATGGTTTGGTTTTGTATAGTCTGGTATGGTGTGGTGTGATATGGTATGGTTTTGTATAGTCTGGTATGGTTTGAAGTCTGATGTGGTATGGTATGATGAGGTATGATATTTTTTGATGTCTGATGTGGTATGGTATGATGAGGTATGATATGGTAGGGTCGGATGGGGTATGGTATGATGAGGTATGATATGATATGGTCGGGTGGTGTATGGTATGATGAGGTATGATATGGTATGGTCGGGTGTGGTATGGTATGATGAGGTATGATATGGTATGGTCGGGTGTGATATGGTATGATGAGGTATGATGTGGTATGGTCGGGTGTGGTATGGTATGATGAGGTATGATATGGTATGGTCGGGTGTGGTATGGTGAAGAACGGTGGTGTGTGGTGCGATATGCGATATAGTATGATGTGATGTGGTGTAGC